CTTGTTCTTGCTCATCTTGTTTACGAGATAAGCCCTGAGTCATCCACAGATTGCTCCAGCTCCCCCTCCCCAACCTCAGCCGGGCAGTAGAATGCTTGGCCCCGGTCATAGTGCAGGCTGCTGTTGCTAAGTCTGTCCCCCCTTTCTCCCTGCCAAGAGGATCCTGACTGTGCCCACGTGCTCACCCTGCAGGCAGGTGATCCTTCCCCACTCCAGGATACACACTAAATCGGCTAAGCCTGACATTCCAGCTTTACCCTGCCAGCGATATGAACCCAGGGCCTGTGTGCATGTCCTGGTCATGGTCCTCAGGCCCCTGTAGGCTGGTGGGTAGGGTGGCAAGCTTTAATCAAGGGGTTCCAACAGGGGTGCAGGGGCAGAGCAGGAAGCAGGGTCTGGGGCCTAGGAGCTGCCACAGGCCTCACTCTCTGCCTGAGAGCAGCTGCCACCTCTCCTTAGATCCCTCTCAGAAAAGTTGTCACCAAGGTTGGCTGAAGATTTCTCCCACAAGGTACCCAGGGCCCAGAGAGTCTGCTCAGAATCTGAGACCTTAGAAGACAGTCCAGGCTCACTGCTTTGTGGGGTCTTCTGTCCCCCAAATTCTGTGTTCTTTGTTGTTGTTCATTGAAAACTATCTACTGAATGGCCACTGAATGTTTAAAAATCAATAAAACTGAATGCTTGCCTTCATGGGGTTCACAGCTTTTCTGAGGGAGCCTCACAAACAGACAAGATGTCAGCGGGGCAGTGATTCTGTGTAGTAAAGGTTGTTAGTTGCTAACAAGTCTGTGAAGGGCCGTTGGTAGAGCACAGAAACCCATACAGGGGAAAGCCTTGCCTCTGATCCTGGACAAACACAGGACTCAGTGTACGGGACCCGCTCTGCCCTTGCTTGGCTGCTGGCATTGTAGCAGAAGTGAATGAGTCCAGCTCCTAAGGTCTGAGAATAGAGTTCATTGTACCATGTCTTCTATGGGGTTAAGAAACCACCACCACCACCACCACCACCAACAACAACAACCGCTTTCACTGCAGAACTGGGAAGTGGAAAAACTGATTTATCAAGGGTCAGTGGGCCGAAGATGACTACGGAAAGCCTAGGGTTCTGGCTAAAGTGATCCAATGAAACTCAGCCTAAAAGCAGGCAGGGGAGCAGGCATTGCTGGGGGACCGTGGAGGACGAGGAACTCGATCACATTCCTGGGGTGGGGAGTTCTTGCTGAAGCAAACAGGCAAAGTTCTTTCTAAAAGTGGATTTGACAAGGAAGTGTACAGATGGCCTAAGAGGAGGCTCAGGAGCCTGACTACAGTGTGGCCAACCACAGACTCTGCTCTACTCCTGCTGAAGTCACCCCAAGCAGACCCCAACTTGCCTTTGTTTACCTATGTAAACAAAAAAGCCCCAAACATTACTTTCAAAAATACCTCAGAAGTGTGACTTTAGATGAGAAATGCTGGAAAGATTATTCCAGCAGTAGTTACCTAGAGCTGCTGAGGATGCTTCCGGTGTCCTAGCAGGTCCCCTTTCCTGCCCCAGCCACCATGAGTCACCTGGGAAAACACTCAACTGTGGTCACTGCTGGGGAGGCCCCATAATCCCCCTGTCGTGCTCCTCTAAGAGGCTTCCTGTTTCCGTCCCGTTCCTGCGCTCTCCTCTGGGGCAGGAGTGCCTGTTCTGTTCCCTCAGGACTGGTGACTAAGCCCCATGTCTCCTGCTTGGGCCCCATCCTGGAGAGGATACTGTCTCCTGAACAATCTCTGTGGCTGTAGCCGTGCTTCAGGTTCCTGTTTGGCTACATGAGGCCCATTTGGGGTGAGCTGCAAGAGAATCCTGTGCCTCCAAACCGGTGGGTTCGGGATGGCAGGGCAGAGGAGCCCGAAAAGTCCTTCCCAAAGCACTTTGGCAGAGAGTGGCTGTGACTCAGCACTGAGAGGAAGTCCAGGGTGGGACTTGAACTAAAAAAAAGAAAACAGAACCGTCTCCCAGGGCTGCCACCAGGCACCACGCCCAGACCCCCACTGTGAAAGGTGGATGTGAAACTGCGGGTGCTTTGGAGTGTCTGGGGGTGGACCCAGCATGGGTGGGGGATGACATTGTGGCAGGGCCCTTGGGAGCTAATTAAGGCTTGGGGAGGTCATGGGGTGAGGTCCTAATGATGGCGCTAGTGAGGAAGAGTGGGAGCTGTCTTCCTCTCTGGGTGTGGGCGCAGAGGACAGACTATGTGAGGCCATACTGGGAAAGCAGCGTGTGGGAGCGAGGACAGGGCCTGTCCTGGAAAAGCAGTGGACTGTGCGTAGCTCAGCCTTCCCAGTTCCCGAGGAGCAAGCAGGTGCTGCTGAAACCACCAAGCATCCATGGCATGTTGTTTTATGGCAGCTTGAGCAGGCTAAGAAACACCAGCACAGAGCTGCTGTCCTCCACCGCCTGGCAGCCTCCCCTGGCGTCCGCCAGTGACCACCAACCTGGAACAAAGACTTGAGGCCCGGCCCCTGGGGTTCCTGCAGACAGCAGCCATTAGGATGAAGGGTTGTGCTGACCCGGTGCTTAAGTATTTTGGGCACCACTGGTATTAGTTTAAGACACAGGGCCCTCCAATTCTTTTGATGTAGAAGAAACAGAACTTCCAACGTGTTAGACATCAGATGTGCAGAGTTCGTGTCCCCTGAAATTGAACAATGAATTCTAAGGGACAAGGGAGATTAGGAATAGGAAAGGTTTGTTGAAAGAGAGCTCCTGAGAGACAGAGGGGTCCCAAGTGGGTTGCCACCAAGGCCTTTTGTCAGGGGTAATTTATACAGCAAAGTCACAATGTGGGTCAAACTATAATAAACCTGCAGGATCACACGTACAGCTGCTTAGCTAATGTTGAGCTAATAAGGAAGCAGGTGTGTAGTGGGGTTGGCTTACTATGACTTCTAAGCCAGGAACATTTTGGGGGAAGGGTTGGGCCCAGATGTTCTGGTCACCCACCTGGGTGTCTGATGCCTATCTGGACTTACTGGACTGGGTGGTAATGATTTGTGATATAGTCTCAAGTTTCTGTTTATCCCTTAGGGAAGTATGTAAGTCTGGCCATTTTATGGTTTTATCTCGAAGCCATGCCTACTTCAGATGCATGACAGTTTTGATGTCTTAAGAAGACAGTTTTGATGTCTTTATTTTTTCTGCTGGCTTCCTTGAGGGCCCATCTCTGTTTCTATCTAACTTAGCTACCTATAACATTTTGACCCTTCTTTCATTGACAGATCAGTCCCTGTGTTCTCTTTCCTTGAAGCTCAGGTGGCTTATGATGTCTTTGACCAATAGGAACAGGGAAGCAGTTGCCTTGTGACAATGCATGTCCTCCTTGTCCCTCAAAAGACCGTGGTGCCCTGGGCCATCACAGAAGGCATCCGTCACCATGAAGCCATCATGGTGGAGAGGTGGTGTAGGGACAGTCCCAGCTTCCAGCCATCTCACCCAACTACCCAGAATGGGAGGGAAGGAGGTTCCATGGGATTCCAGATGCATGCTCTGGGGTCACCCTGAGCTTTAGTTCTTCCCTGCAAAGTCTCCAGGGGCAGAGATGAGCCATCTGCACCGTGCCCTGGTTGGATTCTTGACTATAGAATTTGAGCATCATCAAGTGATGGGTTTTCTCCCCTAGCTCTGCAGTTGTTTGACATGGGCAGTTGCAACCAGGATCCAGCCTACATGGAGAGGCGAGGAAAGGGAGGGAGGGAGAGGGAGAGAGAAGGAGAGAGTGAGCAAGGGAGAGGGAGAGACAGAGACTAGGTCAGAGTGTCACGGATCCAGTGCAGGGCAGAGCCAGGGTCCACCTCCCATCTGTGTGAGCTCAGAGCCCGTCCTGTGTTGTCCCCTAGTCTCTCATTCCAGGGCATGCCCTTTACTCCTGGGGCCACACTCTGAAGTTTGTGCACTGGGTTACCATCAGAGGCAGAGGCCACAGCCCCTGACAAGGCCCCAGGAGGGGCAGGAGGACTGTTTTAGTGGAACAGATGAGCTGCTGCTTATGATATAAAATGTTGCTATTGGGGAAGAACAAATGTGGCCCTAAATGGCAGACTGCAGTGGGCTCCATAGGGTAGATTTTGGCTCAGTTGAGGGTGAACTCTATGAATCACCTTTTGGGAAAAGACTGGGCCACCCAAGGAGGCTGTGAATGCCTGTTGTGGGTGATACACTGTGTCAGTTTAAGGAGCCTAGAGGCTTAGCTAAGTGACTCAGCAGGTCTACATCCAGGGGTGAAAAGACATTCCCTTCCTAGTCCCGGATGTTGTTCATTGTGTCAATTTGAGAAGTTTAGAAGGTTAACTATGAGACTGACCAGGGGGCAGGGTCCTTACTTTGTATTCATGGTGCACCTATGCAAGAGGAGGGTGAGGAGATGGTGTGAGTGCGACCTTCCCTCCACTCCACGTGGGGTAGCCTGCTTACAATAGAAGGGAGGAAAAGAGGCTTGTTCTCCCCCTTGTACTCTTGCTGTCTTCTGCTGCCTTGAACTGTTGTCCCTGTGTCATGCCACCCTGCCTTGGAGCCAGCTGATCATAGACTGAAACCTCCACAAACTGTGAGCTAAATAAACCTTTCCTTCCTTAATTTTGGGTGTTGGGTATTTTGTCTCAGCAGAGAGCAAAAAGTAAGACAGTTCCCACCGTTGGAGGCAGCCAACTGCACCCCACACACACCAAGTACAACCCAAGTGGCGCATGGATGCCTCGGGGTGTGTGCCACAGAGAGCAGTCAAGGTACAGTAGGAAGATACCAGGTGACTTATGAAATCCCCTTCCAACCTTGAGATACTAGAATTTAGGGTACAAAACTAGAAGTGAATAGAAACTACCCTTATCTACATGAGTCATGCCCAGGGCAACAGTGGGCACAAGGCCACCGCAGAGGTCCTTAGGGGATGCTCACAAGCATGAGTAGCTCCCAAAACTCTGCTTCTGGCCAATGAAACTGACCTTGCTCTGGTCACTGGTACAAATCAAAGACTCTGTTGGAACATGCAGATGTTTATTATTCTGAAAGCCCAGGAGATATCTAGGAGGATGAGGGTCAGGTCTCTGCAGACTCCAGGATTGGTGGCCTTGGGTCAGAATGAGTCATGTTCAGGCAGTGGGGCTGTCCCTTGTGCTGCATGCTGTGTCATGGAAGGACAGCAGAGCTACTGAACAACCAGGAAGCCTAAGCCTCTAGGACAGTGTTGTTGGGTCAGGGCATCAATCTGCAGTCTAATTACTCTGCCATGAGGACAGTGTGAGGATGTTTCTTCCACAGAGTCTGATGCTTCCTGAGGAGGCAAGTGGCATCCCAGCAGGTGGGCCTATGTGTCCCTTTCTCAGCAGGCCAAGGGCCTGCGCTATAATACAAAAGGGCTCTCAGGGACCTCTGGCTGTGGTTGATAAGGAAGCACCTAACTGAGACACTTGTCAGAGATCCATGTTCTTCCTGGGGGATCCCTGATTCGGTAGATGGGACAGAGCTCAGGTCTAACCTGTGCCCAGGTAATTCTGTGACTAGTGAAGCTCAGGCAGGCTCTGTCTAGGAGGAAAAAATGACTCACAAGCCCCTGTAGACCGACATATTGGTCCAGCAAGAGCTTTGCTAAATTATCCTTGTACACACACCTGGAAATGACCTGGGAGAGAAGGCAGGAAGAGGAGGCTGAGACACTGTCATCCCCTGGGTGAGAAATGTTGGCCAGAAAGCACTGGGAGATAGAAGACTGGAAGCCAGCTGAGGTCCCCCCAGTCCCCACCCATGGCCAAGGTCATGTGGCAGGGCTGGAGGCCCTTGCTTCTTGGCCTTGGCTCTTGTTCTTCAATGACTTCATGGGTCACTGCCCACCAGGTTCAGCAGGGCATTCTTGTAGTCACCGCTGGTGTCATCCTGAGGGCAGCAGGCAGAGGAGGTTTAGAAGGGGGTGTTGATGACCTTGGCCTGACTTTCAAGAGGAGCTGCTGACATTATTATGGAGGGTTGTGCTTCTCAGGTAGGGTCTGCCCTTTCAAGGGATCCAGGTTATGTCATCCCTCTTTCTTGTTCTTCATTTTGGAGGACTCCTTTGGGTCACCTTTGGAGTCCCCCCCCCCAGTAGGGCTTTTCCACCACCATTTGCTTATTCTACATGATCCATTATTTATTCAGTGGCTGCTGGTACAGCTCCCAGCCGAGGCTGAAGGCAGGTGCCCAGTGCTACACCTGGACAGTGCCTGGGTTTGGGCTAGAGTAGGTAGGGATGGGGCTGGAGCGAGTTCTACTTTGCTTTGGAGCAGTTTACATCCTGTGGAAATTACCTCTTCATTGACAATTTAGGAACATTTTCTTGTTAATTTTAAACTTTCCTTTTTTGGGGGGAAACTATTCATTTTTGCCTACTTTTTCAAATGTATGCATCGTACGTGTAGTTTTTGTGAGTTTTCCTATCAATTTCTACATGAGAGTTTTTAGCATTGGTATCTTGTTGGAAATCATTTTTGCTTTGACGACATTATGGAAACTTAGTCACAACCGCAGCTGAATTTTCTTAAGTGAAACAAGACACAAATTGGAGAGGATGGGTTTCAGGTGTTGCTGGATAAACAGCAGTACTTCAATTCTGTAATCATGAGCCTGCGGGATCTCTGTCTGCCACAGGGCTCCAATTTACACAAGTGGAAGGGCTTATTTTTACATAACGGTGTTTTGATCTTCAGAAGTGTGGCCAGGGCCCTAACTAACTGGAATTTGAGAAGGGACAGGAATCTCTCAGGTGCCTTAGGTCACCACGTGTAGTTAAAAGACTTCAAGATGATGAACTTGGATGGCCACTGGCCTGTGCTTAGCCCTCCTGTCTCCTGCCCAGGCTGGCTGGGACATCTAAGCTGCACCAAGAATCATTCCGGCCCTCCCTGCATCCTTGCTGTCCTGCTGCCCTATCCTGAGATACCTTGGAACAGAACTGTCTTTAAACATGTGGATTCCAGGATCCCCCACAGATACCTAAATCTATACCTGCTCAAGTACTTTATGTAAGTGGCCTATAAACTATGTACATTCTTTGAATGATTTCTAGGTTATGTAAAATACCTACACCAACGGAAATGCTTCACAGTACTTGTTATACTGTATTGCTTAGGGAATGATGACAGTGATAAAACTCTGTACATGTTCTACTTTTATGCAATTTTTTTCCTGAATATTTTTTATTCTCTGTTGCTGGAATCCACAGATGCAGAGGGCCACCCACCTACATGATAAACTCTGTTTTTGTTTTTTTTTTTCTTTTGCGGTACCAGGGATCAAACTCAGGACCTTGTGCTTGTGAGGCAGGTGCTTGTGCCACTGAGCTATATCCCCAGCCCTAAAGTATGTTTCTTGGAAAGTGTAGTTAGCAATTAACATTTATACCAGCAACTTGACTTGGTAGTCAATGAAGCCTTGGGGAGTTATTTGTCTTGATTTGACTTCTGCTAATGAAGTTGTCAAGGTCTCAATTTGCATTAGTCACTAGATGAGCTGCTTGTCTCTAGGTTATAGCAGTGTAACAATCATTCTGCGTTTAAAGACTCTGGAGATTTCACTAAGTGGAATCTGGTTAGGCAGCTCACTGAAGCCCATCCAATTATATGTCCTCAAAAGTTTACTGCCAGGACTACTTAAGTGTAGACTGAGTGAGGGCCCTGATCCCCACCAAACTATTTACCCTCATTGACACCTCAGATATGGCTCCTTCTGCATGGCTCTGGTGCATTTACAAAGGGGTGACCACAACCCCGATGCAGAGATAGCTGTCTAGGCCAGACACAGAGCATCCACCATGCTTTGGTCACCACAAGCTCCCCGCACCTCCATCCACACTGCCTCCTTGCTATGTGCTGCATGTACCCCAGTGTAACCAATGAAATATCCCAATCCCTCCAGGGACACGACAGACACTTGTGACATCAGTCACAGCATCCAGGTCTCCCAGCAACATCTCCATCACTACCTAGTGTTAGAGCTGGAACTCGTGGCTTACCATGATCACGCTGCTGAGGGTCTTGCCGTACATCTTATTGAACTGATACTTGATAAGATTTAAGTCAACCTCACACCTTGAGACGATGATCCTTATGAGTGTCCCATCACATGTCCCTGCTCCCTGGATGAGACAGAGGCAACCAATTGTCACTTCTTACCTCTCCTGCCCAACTCTGCAGTGCTGGAAAGGGCTATGGGGTTGGGTTCTGGGGCTTTGTAAGAGAGGGAGATGCAGGAACGAGCCAGGGAAGCACTCAGAGGGAAGCTAGGGCGGTGCAAGGTGTGTGTTTGGTTTGCCCCACAAGGTCTGGATACAGAATGCTCACTGCTCCAAGGATAAGGTTTCTGCCATGAGCAACAGCTGCGTCAGTCACCTCACTGGCCTCACAATTCACAGGCATAACTTCCTGCAGTAGAGCCTCTGGCCTGTGGGAATCCCACACCCTCTTTTATTTCTGGGCAGGTGTGGTCAGAAGACTGGGCTTTCTGGAACTACTTTTACTTTAGGTGGGGTCAGCAACCTCAAATCAGGAAAACTGGGCACTGGCTTCAGTTGGGGAAACTAATTTCATTCTTTCTCCAGTCTGGTTCCAGAAACCAGTACTGCCCCCTACATTGTGAGGCTTGGGTAGCCTTTTGGGCAATAGGTACATGGAGGTTGGCACCTGGGCATTTGAGGAGCACTGTGGTGCCCTCCCTCTGAGCTTGTTCCAGTAAAGGGTACTTGGTTCCTGGCAGTCGCTGCCTCTGACCTCCAGGACCACATCTGTCATGTGGTGCATGGCTGGCCTGGGAACACCTGTGCTGGCCTGGATTCAAGTCACAGCTCAGCCTCACAGCAGCAGTGTGACCTCAAATTCACGCCTGTGTTTCACCACCTGTAGGGTGGTGTTGACACAGGATTGTTGTCCAAGTTCAGTGAGCCAACCTTGAGCAGGCACCTGCTCAACCTCACCTTCAGGAGAGGTGGCTTCCCTTTCCTGGCCTTAGCCTGTCCTCTGAGAAGCAAAACCCTTTGATCCATAGCGGTTGAATTAAGAAAAGAGAAACCCCCAGATTGAAGACAGTGATGCTCTGAGCTCCTCGGCCGTGAAGCTGGTGCTGGGTCTAGGAGATGGCAGGGAGGTAGAATCCGAGTTACCTTCATGGCGTAGTACAGTCTCTCTGCAAAGTAGCTGTGCAGGTTCTGGGTGCACTTCACTGGCAAATAAAAAAGCTTTGTTAACATCCTGAGGTTGTAGGCAGTGTCGCCTACACTTCTATTTATTTATACCTTGCCCCAGGTGCTAAGGGTTAGCATTGTGCAAGGCTTGGCTTATTTCTTTGTACTCTGCCTAGTTCCAAAATAGAGGCTTTGTATTAGGTGGGGCAAGGCAGAGGAGGCAACCTGGGGCACCAGGCATGGCTCCAAAGGCCCAGAGAAGGCAGGCGAAAGGGCACATGTGAAATGCAGACTGCACTTCTGGGGCTTGTAGGGGTCACAGCTTAGGCCTCTCAGGAAAGCACAGGCCCAGGACAGCCCTGGGCTCTCAACCCCAGGTACTGCTCCTCCAAGAATCCAGCCTCCCTGCTGCAAGGTGGCACACAACACGGTAGCCATGGGCCTCAGGGTGCCCTGTGAGCAGGAGCCCTGCATCCTGAATTCCCATTTGACAAGTGGGGCTTGGGCCCAGGGACTAAGGGGCAGGGGTCTCTGGTCCCAAGGGTGTGCCCCATGCATGCTTGGTCATAGTGCTATGCTGAGATTTGGCGTCTCACAGGGCACTGGTGTTTTCACCAGGAATGCAGGGCTTGTGTCCAACCCCCGCCTGGGCAACTTTGTTACCTAACCCCGTGACCAGCTGTTATGGGAGAGAGAGTGAGCTTTCAGGGAGAAGCAGACAGGAAGTGCCCAGTGCAGTGAGGCCAGCACACTTCCTGTTCCCTGCCAAAAGGTATGCTCTAGGAGGTGTTATCACTGAAGACCTAGGGGCTGTGAGAGCAGGGGCTGGGCCTCGGTGCTCCAACAGAGACTGGATTTTATTACAATGGCTGAAGCTGACCAGGGAGTCTCAGATATCTACATCCACTGAAGAGACAGGGACAGAGGGGTTGTGGTGCACATAGGCAGCCCAGGGTGAAGGTGAGCACCCTGAGCAGAAGCATTGTTTGATCTCATCCTGTAGGTGACAGCACAGGAGAGGTCCCTCTGCCTGGGCCCTGGGTCTGGGCTCTCTTTTCATTAGGATCTCAGCTCTGGCCCTGAGATCCACTCTGGAATGGGGCCTCCTGTGTGGATCCTGCCTCCTGCTGTGGGGAAGGGTCCCTGTGTTCCCAGTGCCAGACCACCAAGCTCTTGGTTGGAACTCTAATCACACGCATCAACTCTCCAGTCAGCAACTAAGGCAGAGGCTGGGCCTGGCTCAGGTCTAGGGAGGTGGCTTTTTACAATGCCTCACAATCAGAGCCACATGCTTTCTGTGTGTTGTAGACACCCATGCACTCATACAGTCTCTCAAACACACGCCGTCACACGTGTACACTATCCCTTACAGTCTTACACAGATGCATGTACTTACACTCACAGATGTACACACACTACCTCTCAAAACACATTCACACACCTACACACTCTCAAACATACTCATGCAGATGCACACACTTGTGTGTACATTCACATTCTCACATGTACACTCATGCACACATGCACACACTAACACTCACCCCGAACACGCTATCTGTCAGACACACATGTAAGCATACATGCACATATTCATGCACAAGCTCACACATTCCACTCCCATACATGTAGTCCCTCTCTAACATATGCTCACTCTTACATGGCATTGGGAACATGTGCACAGCACAGGGGACAGTCCTTGCAGGAGACACTGAGATGCTAGGGGTGACGTGGCCCTGTGGACTCTTGTGCCAAGGGGCTGTGCCCTTCTTACCCACGGTGAGCATGGCCTCCTCCAGTGAGCCGTGGGTCTCACTCTTGATGCTCTCCTCGATGCTTTTGTTGGCAATTTTCTCATACTCTTCAAACACTGTTGAGGGAGGGCACCACTTAGGGGATGTGTGGATGGCAGGCTGCAAATCAGCTTGGTCCCTCACCTCCTCTTGGGGGCCAGGGAAGGGGCCAGGGCTCCCTGGCTCACCCCCAACTCCATGACTTGAGATTGGGCATGCAGGGAGAGCCCTGGGCCAGGGAATTCCCCGTGCCCCAGCAACGCCACCCCTCAGCTCCGTACCTTTCATGAGGTGAGGGGCACTGCGCGTGCACAGAATGGTGATAAATTTCATCTCGTCAGTCCCGCTGATCTTCTCACCCGCTGCGTATAGGTCCTGGTATTGGGACATGCCAAAAAACCAGGGAAGGTGACCGAGGAGGTGAGGACAAAAGCCCAGGCCAGCATTCCTTCCATGGTGTCTCTGTGACAGGAGCTCACTCTCCTGATCTCCTTTTACTCCAAAAACTCTAAGCCTTCTCTCCACACTGGGACAGAGCTACTCTAGGAAAACTACTCCTCACCCCAGGCAGTGTAGAGGGCCAAGCGCTGCCAACACAGGGGTCTGGCTGGGTCCTCCCTCCCCCGGGCCCTGGGTTGGTCCATCCTGGACAGACCTCAACCAGTCTCCCTCGATGTCACTGCCCTTCCCTCTTCTGAGTCTCCCCAGCGTATCCCCCACCCTGACACCATGGGCCAGAGGTCTGCAGGGAGCTGAGCTGAGCAGCTTCCTGCTGGCAGAGGTGTCATAGGTCCCCAAGCCCTGGTGGCCAGAGCAGGGCACGGACTCACCTGTGCGTCTTGCAGGGCCAATCCTGGGTCCACATAGCCTCTCACATCATCCCTGCTACCCTGGGAACAGAAGAGACAAGGTGGCTCTGTAAGGGGTCCCAAGGGCTCAGAGGCGACTTTGTGCAAAGCAGTTGTCCTCCCTAAGCCTTGGGGTTCTTGTCTGTGCAGTGGAGCAGACCCAATACTTGTTGTAAGGGGATTCATTGAGTGGGTAGGCATGGAGCCTGGCACTAGCCGTACGAAGGTCCTGCTCTGTGACCAGAGCCCTCCTTCAGTTCTGAGGTGCTGTTCCCCCCAGCTGAGCCTGGATAGGGGCTGGGGTTCTGCAGTGAGGACCCACAGTGATGGCCAGGATGCACCCAGGCCCCTGCCAGGGCTCTGTCCATGAACTGATCCTAGGGCAAGGATGTTGGGGTCCCAGGCTGGGTACCTGCAGCAGGCACACGAGGATCCGCTCCAGGTAGCCACTTGTGTCTGCTTGGATGTCTTCCTCTAGGCTGGACTCATAGTCTGCAGGGAGACAGGACCAGGGGGCATGATAGTCACCCTGGGCCACCCAGGATGGCTTTCTCTTGCCAGCCCTATGTCGCTCACTTACCCCATGGAAGCTTTCTAGGAAGGGCCAGTCCTTTGCACAGGGCATGGACACAAGGCCTTCCTGTCCAAGTGGCAGAGTTCTGTCACTTGGGTGTTCATTCACAACAGAAGTGACCTGGATGCCCCAGCCAACCTCCAAGCACAGAGATAGGCCAGGCCTGGGGCAAACATGCTACCAGGTCCACAGCCCAGAGGACCAGTTGACCTCTGTTTGCTCTGCAACCAGATTACCCAGGACAGCTGGACAGCTGTCTGTGCCAATGACAATGCATCCTGACAGATGGCCCTGCAGGTCCTCTGGGTGAGCTAGGAAACAGCCACCCTGTATGCTGGTGACCCAGCCTCAGGTCCACAGCATTGCCATGTGCCTATCCCCTCGCAGCCCATGAGCTCAAGGACTGGGTCCAAATCAGGTCCAGTTTCACTTTAGGTGCACAACTTCATGTGCAGATGCCTAGCACCTTTGTATAGAAGGGCCCAAAGGGTCCTTCCCAGTGTGGATGGGCTCTTGTGGGTGACACTTGGCCCTTGTTTTCTGCTCACTCTCAAAGCCCCTGCCTTTGTCAAACAAGCCTTTAACTCAAGCCCTGCCCCTCCTCCTTTGCAGCCCCCTTACCCTCCTTGTAGGCCTTCATTATCTCTTGCAGCTGGCATTTGGTCCGAGAGGCCAGGATCTCAATGATGACCCCTTCTTTGGTACCTAGACCCTGGGGACAGAAAGCAATGTGGGCTGGAGGCCTCTGTTCTCCAGCTTGGTCTGCACCCTCTTTCCTCAATATGCCTGAGCCCCAGGAAGCACCAGCTCTGTTCTGATCACGATGGTGGGCCCTGGTGGGAGGGTGCGACCCGGGAGACCATTTGTCTGCAGTGACGGATTTCGAGGACAGGCTGTGCCTTGACCCCCCCTTCTCAGTTGGTGGTCTTGGACCTGTGGCTCCCATGCCCAGCCAGAACATCCTTATGTGTAAATAGGAATAATAAGCCATGCCCACCCTGAAGGAGGGATTAGCAATCATGGATGGAGAATGCCTGGTGCCACTGGTAGAGTAACCTTCCTATCAATGAATGGGGTCCCTGATGCTGGGTACTGTGTCCTTCCTAATCTGCAAAAGCAATGAGAAGCAGAGGTGACCCGGAGGGCCATGTGTGGGGTTTCAGAGCTGGGGAGGACAGGCCATCCCGGAGCTGTGAGCTCACTGGGTACAGCTGGGCCCAGGTGGCTACAGCACAGGGTGGCTCACGGAGTTACCTTCATGGCGTCATGCAGCTCCTTGGCCTCGTACCTGTAGGGCGGGTACATGAGGGCCACAATGAGTCTTTCAAACTTGCCACTCAGCTCTGACTTCAACGTTTCGGTGAGATCCTGAGGAGGAACAGGAAGAGATGAGTGTCCACAAGGCCCTCCAGAGAGCAGGCCACAGGGTGGCACTGGGTCCAGGATCCCTGGCTAGATTCCCACATGGGCCCTGCCACTGGCCAGCTGGGGTCTCTTGGGTCAGCTCCTTAGTCTCTAAACCCCGGGCCCGCTTGCCTGTTACAGAGGGATGCTGGAGCTCCAGCTTCGCAGCCTGGCATGGGGGATGGAGAGATGTGTGATTCAGCCCAGCACTCCCTGGCCCCAGAACTGGGCACACAGTAGCTCACAATAAAATAAAATTGCCCTTGGGTACCAGACTGCAGCTCGGCAGGTGGCAGCGTGGTGCTTAGCTCAAGAACGAATGACTGTCTCTTGGGCCACAGGCCTTCAAAGAAGGAAGGAGGGAAGGAAAGGGAAGAGGAGGGAAAGGAGGGAGAGGGAGAGAGAGAGAAAGGAAGGGAGGAAAGGAAGAAGGGTGGAGGGAGCAAGGCAAGAGCCCACCTTGTATGAGACTCTTTTTAAGGACACATGTTTCCACAAGGAGCCACCAGCCACAACAACTGACCTGGACCAAGCAGCAGAAAGATCAAGGGCATTGTCCGACCAGGATTTAAGTCCCAACCCTGTTGCTTACAGGAGCTGGGATCTTGGACAACTTTCTCAGCCTCTCTGGACCTGTCTGTTTCCCCAGACATTGTAGATTAATGCATAGTCCTGAGGGTTTCAGGAGAGGGCCTATGAAAATGTATGTTGGGGTCTCCAGGGGAATGTTTGGGCTTTGTTACCATCTTCCTGGGTTAAATCTCCAAACCAATGATTTGAGCCATGGAGACTTCTGGGCACCCATGGCTATGCTGTGTGTATTCCCTGTTTACTCATCGGGAGCCTCCAGTGCCTGGCCCTGGCTAGGAGCTGGGCAGGTACAGGGCTCTAGAGTTGCCTGGGCAGAAGGGATGAGACTTAGTGCATGTAGCTTCCATATGAGACAACAGTGCCCTTGTCCGGGACAGAGAGAGCCAGTCCATGTGTTGGGCTGTGAGGAGGAGACAGAGGTTGGCTGAGGTGGCTGGATGAACAGAGCACCAGGGCCAGGGGACAGCTCCAGGCTGAGCCTGAGAAGGGGAGAGGAAGTGGTGGGGGGTTGGGAGCTATGAACAGGTCTGCCAGATGAAACAGAGCCACTAGCTAAACCTGAACTTCCGGTGAATAGAGAATAGTGTAAGTGCTGGAGTGCAGACGTCCCTATGGGCATGTTTTCAGGACCCTGGCCTGGGCTGCAGCCCTGCCCCCTACCTTGCCGAACTGAGCCTTGAAGGACTTGGCAATCTGCTGCCGCTGCGCATTGCTCCTCTTGGTGAGCACGTCAATGATGGCTTGCTCGTTGGTCCCTGCGAGGTACACAGTATGAGCTGAGGGGGACCAGAGAGGACTAGGGAAGGGGTGTGGCCGATGGATCTCTCAGCCAGAGTTGGGAGAACCCACCTGTAATCCCAGTACAAATGAGGCTGAGGCAGGAGGGTTTCAAGTTTGAGCTCAGCCTGAGCTAGTCATTCAGTGAGACTCTGTCTCAAGATAAAATACATAAAAGGACTTGGGATATAGTTCCACATGAAGGCCCTGGGTTCAATACCTAGTACCGAGAAAAAAAACTATTGCCTCATTCCTTAGCCCTCACAAGATACTGGGATGCAGCCCAGGCCTAGCCTCAGAGTAGGGGAACCTGCGGATCAAGTGCCCTGGACATTACCCCTGGGCCTTTTCAAGCTTGGCCAAGTGAAACCTCCCACCCTGCCCTCCCTTGTGTTGGTGGTGGCTGGAGAATGTCATGACTAAGAGTCCGGACCACTGGGTCTGAGACAGCCCCGGGCTCATGGTCCAGCTTGGGGCCGCACTGTCCCACTTCCAGTCCTGCCGGGACAGGATGGGGACAGGAAGCAAGCTGGTCCTGAAGCCAGCCAACATGGGCCAGGGGTGAAGCTGCAGAACCTGTGTGGCTGATGCTGCCTGGGCCCTGGTCCAGCTCTGCCCATCCACAAACCCATCCACACTCCCCACCAGGCCTGTGCTGCACCCAAGATTCACAGTTAAAGAATCATTTTATAGTAACACATGCACACCCACGAGTATAACAGCACAATGCACGACAGCTAAGTCTTAGAAGCAATGTATATGCCCGTCAGGAGATGGATGCATAAAGAAAATATATTTATACATAATGGAGTACTACTGTGCCACAAAGAGGGATAAATTTGACTCATTTCTAGGAAAAGGATGCACTTCGGGACCATAATTCAGTGAAATAAATCAGACACACAAAAACGTAATCATCCTGTACTGTAAACATGCACTAATAAAAAGAAAAGCAAAACAAGAGATTCACAGGGACGCTCAGGGCCATTCTGTGAGTGAGAAAGCTCAGAGTGATGGTGGAGTTGCCTGCACAGGGCACAGCCGATGGCCTCCCCCTCCCACCACCCTCCTCCCCTCTGGTCTCCCTGGGGAAGCCAGGTCTGTGCGAGCCTCTGAGTGACAGGGTAGTCCCCAAAGTGTCACGTGGACAACCCCGTCCCCAGCTGTGGGCTGGTATCTGCTTTTCAGGACTGGGAGCAGAGTGGAGACCCTGCAGAGTCACGGCCCCCACTCACCAATTCCCTTCATAGCTTTGTAAAGGGTCTCTGCGTCCGGGTCTGGGTTGAAGTGGGAGCTTCCCTTCACAGTGACGCCTTCCTGTTCAACCTGGGAGAGAGGGTGTCCTGCTTAGAGTGGGTGGGGGCAGCCCGTTAAGGAGGGTAGGCACCTTTGGGGGCTGAGACCAGTATGGCCAGCTTGGCCAGTGCCAAACCTCCAGATCCTTGGTCGGCAGGCTGGAGCAGCCAGGGCCAGGGTGTGTGAGGTGATACCACCCAGGCTGTGCTCAGCTGTGTTCTCTGAGGATGTGTAGCTGGCCCTGCCACCTCTGGCTCCCTCCTGCTCCATCAAGGGCAGTGGAAAAAAGGAAAAGGCCTCCCAAAGCCGGCAGCTGCCTTGAGATCATGTGGATATGCAGTGTAGTTTGTGTCCAAGGATGGTTTGAACTCAGCCTCCTTGACCTGCAAGTGGGGACTTCCAGGCACCTGAGGGCCAGGGTCAGCCGGGCACCCACATGGCTCAGGACGTCGGCAGGGCCACAGGCTTGTGGGGATAAAGGATTGCTTATAGTGGACTCCGGTGTGCAGCGGCACATGGCCCAAGTTCCACAGCCTGGACCTGCAAGTCTCCAGGCCAGGCCGTGCTGAGGGCCCCTGACCCCTGTGCCTACACCAATGGCCCCTCTCAAGCTTGTATTTTTGGGAGAGGTGTGAGGAGTGGAGGGGATTGGAGAGAGGCACTGAGTCCGAGGGAGACTTGAATTCTTCAGTGGAAAGTTCAGTTGTGCTGAGTCAGGTCTTCACATACCTGTCCACCTCCCCTTTCCGTCGTCGCTCCATCGCCCAGCAAACTCTCTACCCATAGGCTCATCCATTCATCTGTTCAGCCATGCCCCACCCACCTAGCCATCTAACTTCTAGGTTTATCCTTTTATCTTTCCCTCTTTTTTTGAGACAGGTTCTCACTATGCAGTTCAGGTTGGCTTTAAACTCACTATGCAGCTCAGGTTGGCCTTGAACTCACAGCAGTCCTCCTGCCTCAGCCTCCCGCTTCTTCCATCTTTTTCCCTCCCTCTCCCTTCCCGTCCCCTCCCCTCCCCACCTCTCCCCTTCCCCTTTCCCTCCTTTTCATCCATCTATCATTCACACATTCATCCATCTTCTTCCTTCCCACTTTCCCTTTTTCTCCCTTCTTTCCCATACTCCCTCTCTCCATCCATCCATCCTTTCATCTAAAGTCTAGATTAAATCCTGAAACCACAGAACAGATTCTCACCCATGGTATATCTGTGGGGAATCTTTCTTTTGAGCAAGGGTTTAGATGTCTTTCTTTACCCTTGCTTGAATTTCAAATGCCTGGTAACAGACCTTCCTGTCTCATTTCTTAGCACCATGTTCTACAGCAGAAACTGTTAGAAGTAATTCCTGTGGAAATTCCTTCCAGAGAGCCGGTGTGGTCCAGATGTTGCCCAGCGGCATGCACACGTACACTATGTCCCTTTCTGGTAAGGTCCCATATGCATTACTCTTCCCAGGTGTCGACTGGAGCGTTGCTTGTGTCAGTGCTTTGGAAGTGGCACGTAGCTCAGGGACACGCTGGCGAGTGGCGGTGTGGACCTCACCCACATCTCAACTCATGCCGTGCCCCTCCACCTCCTTGGTTTGCTGGTGACTCAGCCCTTCCCAGACTCCCGGACTCTTGGAATGCTTGGGCGGAGAAAGCCTCACCCACAGGCATGCAGATCATCTGGGAGGCTGGGGGCCACTGAGCTCTAAGTGTCTAGCTCTGCCCCTGCCCTTGCAGCAGGCCAGGGACCTAGGCACCCTGTATCTGCCAGCAGATCTCTTCCTGGCTGGGTGATTTCACCGTACCCAGAGGCCTTAGCCTCACTTCCCAGAATAAGATTTTTGAAAAATGGGGTGATTTTTTGGAACTGGAATCTGAACTCCACCTGGCCTGGGGCCCCAGAGGTTGCTATCTGAGCATGGTGGGTGAGATCAGACAGGCGCCTCTTCACTGGGGTGACTCAGATCTGCAAAGCAGAGGAGCCGTCACACTTTGTTTCTCCCTGTCTGGGTTGCTCTTTCCCTTGCAGGCAGAGGGGCCTTTCCAAGAAGGGACAGAGAGGGTCCTGCCCTGGGACAGGGCCATACCCCAAAGATGGACTGCTCCAGTCCCTCTTTCATGCCCCTTCCATCCTGCCCAGGGGACAAGTGATCCGCATTGGCAGCCCGGCCAGCCACAGAGGGTGTCCATGGTGACCTGGCCAGGGAGCCAGCTGTCGCTAGGTACAGGGATGGCCCAAACCTGCAGAGTTTGGGTTCAGAGTCAGGCTGCTCAGGCTGTAGCCCAGACCCTGCACCCACCTGTGTGGCAGAACCACTTGAGGACCCTGTGGGCCAGGTCCTCCTGTTAATTCGCCCCCTCCCCAATTTGACAAACGGCCAGCAACCCTCCCTGGTGCCAGCCCAGCCTTCTTGTCCTGTGTCATGGGCACTCCTGGGTCCCCACCAGCAGCTGTTGGCCCTAAGATGGTTTCTCCCCATCTTAGGCCTTCACGGCTCCCCAGAGCTCTGAAGGTTCAACCCCGACCCCTTGACCCATGTGAGGCCCCTTAGGATCCCGCCTGCCTCTGCAAGCCCATCTTGTGCCTGCTCAGTGCCCTTGAGCCATGTTGGCGGCTTCCCTCCACAGCCGCTCCCCACCCTTCTGTGCCTCACCCGGAGCAGCCTGTCGAGTTCCCTCAAAATGCACAGGCGTGTAGCTCAGCCTGCACCCCCACCTCTTAGGAACATCCTCCTCTGGGCTCCCCCCCGCCAGCTTCCCTTGCACTGCAAGTCTCTTCATCTGGCTGCTTCCCCACTTGGTCCTGTTCCTGCCTGAGGTCCTGAAGGCCTGGACAGTTTCTTCTAGGTCCTCCCCAGGGCTTGGCCCCGCAGGCCCTGCCTGCCCTGCTGCAGGCCTCCTGGGTGCCCACCCCATCTCCCTCTCACCCCGACTCACCCAAGCTTTCCACCAGGCCATTTTGGTCACCTCGCTGCCACCTTTCCCAGGGAGATGAAGAGACACTGGTGGCCACTGCTGGGGACTGGGCACGCCCTGCTCTGCTGTGGGCTGTCAATCTGGCAGGAGTGGGTGTGGTGGTGCAGGCAGGCCCAGGCCCCACCCAGCCCCATCCCAGCCTCTTCTCCTCCCCTCCCCTCCCCTCCGGGCCCTCCTTGGCTCCCAGGCCGCACCCAGGCCCTGCCCAGGCTTGTCCCGGAGAGACAGCCGCACCCTCATAGCCCCTAGTGTGGGCTGCGGTGGACTGGCCAGCTGGAAACTCTGAGAAGGCTCTGAAAGTGGACTTGGTAAATATGGGTGTAGTTTCCTATGGGTTTTGCTAGACCTCAGACATTAAAAA